TTCTAATATCCTTCCCTCCAATGAGAAGTCGGACTTTATTTCCTGAAGTATGGACTGGTTGGATCTTCTTGCAGTCCAAGGCACTCTCAGAATTCTCCTCCAACACCACAATTCAAAAGCATCTAGCTTCCTTCACTCAGTCTTCCTTATGGTCCAGCTCTCATATCCATAAGTTACTACGGGGAATACCATTGCTTTTACTATGCGGATCTTCGTTGCCAGTATGATGATTTTGTATTAGTGACAGCAAATATATAGAATTAAACACTATGACAAACTATCACTAAATTAGCTGTCTTGAAGAAATTCGGTTTTCAGATAGGAGAATGCTTAAGGCAATTCCTTTTTGTGGCAAGAAGACCTGATACTCTTAGAAAGAAAGGTGTTAAGAGTTGGTATACTGTTATCAAAGGTGATAAAATGAGTGTCTTTTCCACTGTGCTAATAATGGGATTTCCTCTGAACCCCATGTCCTGAATCCCCGTATTTTCTTTTAGGTTACCATGTAGGTGTTTCTGTTCAGAAGTTAAACACTTTGAAAGAGCTGTGGGCGTAGCAGGTCTATAACTAATAAGGCTGGATATAACTGCATTTTAAAAGAGATCACTTTTACTTTTTTTCTTTCTTTGTCTTCAACTTCTCATCAGTTTTATTAGGAGCAGTGCAAGTCAAGCTATTTATAGTTCCTAAAGAGCAGAAGAGGCTTTATTCAAAAAATTCAACAAGAGGAAATAGCTATTTTAGGGATATTGATTAGACAGAGCTTGACATATGAAAAGTAAGCATGTCATCAGATTCTGCATAAAGCAACAAGGTTATCTTTGGTTCAGGCTTTCTATATAAGGTGAAAGATGTAATTTGCAAGTCTTTGCCATGTTCTGAGCCACATGTTTCAAAAATATTTGGATGTGTTGTCTACCAAAATAGCTAATATTGCACTTTCTACATTGCATGTTAAATGGAAACCAAAGTATCCACTTGGCCATCTTCCATTGGTATGTATGAACAATGTTACAGTTCCCTGCAGTATTTTGATTTAGATAATTATGGTCTTCAAGGAATGGAATAAATGATATGACATCATGGTGTTAAGTTATGTCTTCCAAGTTGACTCACTACTACAATTACTATTAAATTAAAACTTGTGCACCAGTTGCGCCCGTACCTCGGGAAGTCTGATCTGGCCACGGTGGTCCACGCTCTTGTTACATCCCGAATAGACTACTGCAATGCTCTCTACGTGGGGTTGCCCTTGAAGACTGTTCGGAAACTTCAACTAGTCCAGCGAGCGGCAGCCAGATTGCTCACCGGAGCGACATACAGGGAGCATACCACCCCCCTGCTGTGCCAGCTCCACTGGCTGCCGATTCAGTTCCGAGCACAATTCAAGGTGCTGGTTTTGACCTACAAAACCCTGTACGGTTCCGGTCCAGTGTATCTGTCCGAACGTATCTCCCTCTACGTCCCACCCGGAGTCTGAGATCATCTGGGGAGGCCCTGCTCACGACCCCACCACTGTCACAAGTGAGACTGGTGGGGACGAGGAGCAGGGCTTTCTCAGTGGTAGCCCCCCACCTGTGGAACTCACTCCCTGGGGAAATCAGGGCATCATCATCCCTCCTCGCCTTCAGGAGGAGGGTGAAGACTTGGTTATGGGACCAGGCCTTTGGGCACTCTGGCAATTAAATCAGACAATCAGGCGAGTAAGACCAGCAGGATTGAGGAAGTGGAACGTAAAACTAGATCTATGTGTTAACGAACGCTGACCATGTAAGAGGAGAAATTGGGTTTGTATTTGGTTTTTATTGATTTTATTGATTTTATGGTTATAATGCATGAATTGTTGTTAACTGTGAATTGATGTAATTTTGTGTATGATTGTTTTATGATGCAGGCATCAAATTGTGCCTTTGCTTTTGTAAGCCGCCCTGAGTCCCCTTCGGGGTGAGAAGGGCGGGGTAAAAGAACCCCAAATAAATAAATAAATAAATAAATATTACTATCACTTGATGCTTTCTATTAATATTTCTTGGATGCTTCAAGGAATTTTACAATCTACCAGTAAGTACAATTTGCAATAGTAAAGAACAATAATGCCACATTCCCCAAAATAAATAGAAACTCAGTTAAACTATGGGCTCATTTACATGGCCACTGTAATTCAGAGCCAGACTGGAGCATTTCTGCTTTGGACTGGTCTTGAATTCAGTGGAGCTAATTAGATGCTACATCCCTGAGACACAGGAGCAGTGAGTCCAGACAAGAGTTGGGTTCAGACTATCCAATTGACCTAACTCCATTTGACTGCTAAATGGTCACCTTGATGTCATCTCTGTCACTGGCAAAGGGCATTAGAGAACTCCTGGCTGCTGCTGTGCAAGTATGCTAATATTGGCAAAGGTGCCCACACAACCAAGCAGAAGGAAGAGGGATTTTCCCCTCTTTCTGGTCCCCTACAACATCTGTTATTCAGTAGCAGTCTCTCATCCAAGCACTAACCAGACCTGACCATGCTTAACTTGATCAGACAGAATCTGGCTCCTTTATGGTATTTAGGCTACATATTGTTTAAGATTATCAGGGCCCATTTCTCTATGACAAAGGTGTATTGATAAAAGTAAGAGAGTGACAGGATACAAAGAAGTTTTCAATTAATTGTCCTAACAACAAATAATAGCTTTGCTTCTTATCTTACTCCTATGTTTTGTCACACCACAATTCTCTCTGCCTCTAATTCTTAGAGCTCAACTAAACTGTGACGATTAATGAAGATGATTTATAGGACAGTGAAATGCCATCTGTCTCTGCTGTTGAATTTCCTTTTTTATTTCCTTTTGCTCTGAATGGACTAAATCCCTCTCTTTATTTCATATAACTTAGTATTCTGAGACTGGTCTCATGACAGTATCCCACAGATAGTGTGCCTTGGGAAGCACAAAATACTGTCCTGTCTGAATAACTGCTTTTATAACTGGAACATATCTGACTTGTGGCACAAACATAATTTTCTATAATGAATTGTTTGCCTTTACTATTCAGTAAACAGTGTCCTATCCAACTGACACAGTACAAAAGGGAAAACCCTGTGAGAGGAAATGGGTCCATTCAATCATTCAGACCCAAATACAGTTTTCACAGCAGTTCCGGAAGTGTATAAATGAACAGTCAGCAGTATGTTTCCAAAATGTTGCCCACTTTTTAAAAAATCAACAAAAGTAGTAATATAGCCTGCACATTTCTGTACCTTTTCTCACTAGTAAACACTAAAATAATACTCAGTGCTTAGTGACAAGCACTGGTGTAAACAAAAACTTACTATGTATTAGATGCTATGTAATATATAACTGATAAAGGAAATTGCTGAAACTTGAAAAGGGGGGATACTTTTCCTTGGATTTGAAAACTCTACAAGTATATTCTCACATCGAAGCACAAATTGGTGACTACATGACTACCCTTCAGGATTTTTAAAATCAGTGAATCCCCAATGTCTGTGTGGTTTGTTTCTAAGGTAACAGAATGTGACATCTTCAGTTTAAATGAATAAAAACCTGAATATTCAAGCTTGCTTCAGCCACAAGAACACACAAGTACCAATGGCATCAGACTAATACAGAGTATTATCTCTGGGTCCAGCTTGATTTATGAACAAGAGAGACATAAATTACCTTTGAAGCTGTGTCATACCAGAAAAGGAAGAGACATATTTTCTGTCTAGGAAAATGAATCAGAATTGTGTTCAAGCTCACCCCATATCAAGAAAAGGGGGAATTCTTTGTTGGGAGGAATGCTTGGGGGAATCCTTTGTTGGGAGGTGTTAGCTGATCCAGATTGTCAAGAACACAGAAATGCTGGACCATTCAGCAACTACCATGTCAAACTACACAGAGATGCCACTGAAATCCACAAGCATATGGACAATTTCAATAGAAAGAGGAAACCATGAAAATGAACAAAATCTGGCTACCCATATTAAAATAACTCTGAAATCAGGACATCAGATAAAGAACAGCTCTCAGAAAATAGAGGAATTCCAGACAGGAAACAATCAGGGACCTCCCAACCAAGGATTCCCCCAGGCAAGAAGCAGCCAGGCCTTCAAGCTGCAAGACAATTCAATGCTAATCTAGCGTGCTAGTTGCAACATTCACACTTGCCTCAAACAGACAAGAGTTCTTTCTCTCACCCTGGACATCCACAGATATACAAACCTCACTTTCGTAAATTTCGAAATTTGGAAAATGGAAATTTCGGAAGTCCTATCAAAAGCGAAACGCTAGCACCCCCTGGAAACGAAACGAGTTTAGAACCAAATTTTTTTCTTGATCGCCCAAGCCTAGTATTTACAAATGGTGAATATACAAGATGAAGCTCCTTTCCAATACCTCCATTTTGTAAATAAAGTGGGATGATATAAGTCAAACAAGTTGAATAAAGACGTATTCAAGATTACACCAATCACCATAATCAGAATCAAATTCAGAATTGCAACCTCCTAGTTCCAAACTCTAATATTTCATTTTGGTATACACTATAGTGTGTACTGAAGCAGACTTCTGTAAGTTTAGGTAACATTACCAAAAATGGTTTCATTCTAACATATATTCTGTGTTGGGAGTAGTAATAATGTTTCACATTTAAAGACTTTTCATAATCTACTCCAAAACTAAAGTTTACTTCATTTGCATATGGTGATATTCCTTGGCGGAGGACTAAATATATGCCTTGGTTATAGTATGCAAAGATGTCACATCATTCATTCAAAGCAGATACCCTGGCCTCCATTAATGTTCCTGATGACAAAGGAAATCTAAGGGGTTTTTTTTTTAAAGGCATATGGGCATTGCTTCACCTGTAGGGAACTAGACAGAGCAGGATTACACACACACACACACACACACATTTTTTTTTCATGTTTTGGAGCTTATTACACCACATGAGGGAAACACCATAAATGTTTTATGAGACTTGAATCATTTGATATCCTGATAGAGTCTTACGTTCTTGGAAAGATGTGAAGAGCATCTGGAATCGGCTGCTTCGACTGCCTTCATCTGCCCACATGCGGATTACTCCAAGACCTGTGCGCAGCATCACATCATTAGCAACAGTGCTGCAAAACTTAGCTTTTAAATCCTCCACTGAGCTACTTCCATCATAGACAGCCACAAAATTCCTTTTGCATTCATTAGAATTCTGCATTTCATAGTCCAAGAATCGTAAATATATCTACAAAACAAAAACACAGTGAATATGACAGCATAAACCATTCAATACTGGAACAAGAGGCATTGCAACATCATTCTTTCCTTTTAGAAATTTTAGAAACCCACTGCTGATTAATAAGAACACTGCCAATATTGATAGTCTCAGAGAATAGCAAACAGCAATATACATAGATTATGAATAAGGCTGAGCAGTATTTTAATCATTACTACCAGATGACAATCCTGCTAAGATAATGGGATACTTTTCTCTCTTAAATATTTATTCTTTCCCTGCAGACACACAATATTTATGTATGCTTGCTTATCACTTACTGACTGAAGCTGGTGAACCAGCTGCAACAAAAAATCACCATGGAGAGGATGCTGTATAACCGTGATTGGAACAAGAAACTAAAAGCTTCTTATTGAACTTTTAGAATCTGTTAGGTTATTTGCACAGAAAGAAGAATATTTGCCTGTATTCTTTTTTTCAGGATTTGTCTTCTTTGCAATATGTTTGAAATCCTTTCCTATGGTACTGATTTTCATTTCCCGTTTCCTCAAGCATGTATATAGATTGTAAAGCAAATTCCATGTTTGTTAATCTTGCTATAATTTAGCAGTTTAATATCAAAGTAATTTTACATTTATTGATTTAATTAGTTCTCTCATATTCTTTAATTATAATCCAAAATTGATTTTAAAAACCCAAACTGAATAAAGAACCAAACATAATACAACAAGAAGAGCTAGCAATTTGGACCAGAAAATTATTTTTAATGAATTCAAAACTTCTAAAGGCTTGGACAATAAAAATGCCTTTGCTTGGCTTAGTATAAAAAGATAGCTAAAAAGTATCAAATAAAAGTCTTCTGGAAGATTCCATACAAAAGACACGACCACTCAAATGCCATCCCTCTGGGTCCCACTGTTTTTCTGGCTTCGTCTACACTGCCATGTAATGCAGTTTGAAATTGCATTATATGGTCAGTGTAGACCAGGTATGGGCAAACTTTGACCCTCGAGGTGTTTTGGACTTCAACACCCACAATTCCCAACAGCTGGTAGACTGTTAAGAATTGTGGGAGTTGAAGTCCCAAAAACCTAGAGGGTCGAAGTTCGCCCATGCTCGGTGTAGACCCATAGAAGGCAATTTAGCAGCTCTGAACTGACCATAACTTGTAGTGTAGATGGGATGTCTGTTTAGCACCCACTTCAACTCATCCAAGATCTATTACTTCTCTGTGCAGAAACCCTAGTTTTGCCTTTTGCCTAAGCTTAGCACAGTTCTCTCAGTGCACTATTTACATATTTGCAGAGAACTGGAAGTTTCTGGCTTCTATATGGCATAAGCCATAAGACTCATGACAATGACTTTTTTACAGCATAATTTGTACTGAAACAAGCTTTTGAGATTTCATCCATTTATGAATATTGCATTCATAACTTATGAAGTTTCCATCCTTCAGTCTGGCAGCTGATCTGTGATAACATTTAACAAATGATTTGTTCTTTGATGGCTGCAATTAAATCAAGCATGATGGGTCTGTGGGATTTTTGCAGAAAAGATAGAAAATTGAAATATGTGTGAACAGAATACACAAGAATTTAAGAGACTGTTTTATTCAGATCTTTGACCCTTCTAGCTTAGTACTATCTGCAGACTAGGGCTCGAATCATCATTGAATAAGGCAAAGGCAAAACACTTTGAACAATTCTTGCCTAGAAAATCCCATGACATGTTCACCATAGGGTTGAAATAAATTGGAAATGACTTGAAGGCACACAGCAGTAACAAAACAAATTATCAGCAGAATAGTTAACATTTACCTGCCACATATATTCAATAATTTCCTGAAATAAATTAAGCTAAAAGCTTTACTTATGTTTGGCTAACCTCAGGTTCTAATGGCAACTCATCTCAGTCTGTGTTTTTTTTTAATGTGGGGGAGATGTCAGTGAAAAGGAACAGGCGCAACAAACCTAAAATAGATTTGGTTTGTTTTACTGCTCTGAGCTGCTACCTTGCAGCCTCAGATTCAACTCACCAAGCTTTTACTTTATGGCTGCTGGAGTAAGCATGACAGGGAGGATTATGTTGCAAACAAACTGGTGTTGAGGGAATCCTACTCCTGAACAATCTTGGTAGCTTTGGATGCAGCATAAGCTGATCAAACTCTTGCATGTGGTGCTCTGTAAAAATGGAATACTTTGTTTTAATCCACAAGCTCTTTAGCCTGCAAAGCATTATGATAGATGCAGCAATATTTATTCTGTATTTCACACATTAATAATCAAGTGAGATTAACTCATTATGTCTAGTACTCTACTATTATTTCAGAAATATATAAAAATAGAAAGACTGACTTGACAATTATAATATTGTACTATTTCAGAATCGGAAAGGGAGAAAGAGATTGATAATTCTAGTGTTATTCTTCTAGTACTACAATTGTCCAAGTCAATAGCATTTGATTAGTAATGTGTGAAATGCAGAATAAGTACTGCTACATCTATTATAATGCTTTGCAGATGAAGGAGCCTGGATTAAAGCAAGGTGATATTTATATGGAATATAATGAAGTTCCTGCTTTAGAGACTAATACTAGACTCCAGATATCAACTCTAAGCCATGGAAGTTGCCAAATTTATATTAAAAATAATTTTCACTATTGATAAGTGCTGTATACATAGATAATTCCACATCAGAGCATGAACATGGGGATTATATGCACACAAATTATTCCAACATTGCAAAAATTACACTATTTCATCCAGAATCTGTCAAATTTAATTTAAGCAATACACTAGTAGGAGTTTTAGCTTTCAAACCTGTGTACCACTGGAAATATTTCCACTAACTCAGTGAATCTTAATTTCATGTATACATGCTTAAGGTTACACTGTTGGTAATTTTTGTACTTCCCTTTTCAGGAAAAAAATATTATTAGTATTATTGTTTTATAATATTTTAAATAATTATATTTCTGTAATTTTTATATATTGTTTTATAATATTTATAATATTTACTTGCACTCTCCCATGAAGATATTTGAATGATAACAGCTACATTTCAACTAATGCTAGGAGAGAAATTTGTTCACATTTTATGGCAAATCTATTTATTTCCGTGTCTTATGTCACATCATTTTTAACATATTTGATAATCACATTAATCTAAGTGTATATTGACCTAAAACTGACTTTTTGAAAAAACTTGCCTTTTTTCCTTCTGGTTATGTTTGTAAAAGCAAGACCATTATATCTTTGTGTTAGATGGCTTCAGAGAATACAGATAGTGGGCTACTCATTACACAAATCTTCTAATCCACAGAGGAAATATAAACCTGACTGTTTGAGAATGGATATGTAGCCTGAGCTTTGCAAAGATACTGGGAAAAGATTTAAAAGCACCATTTATATATTTAAATTACCTTTGCTCAAAGTTGATTAGTTGATTCTGATAAAGAATCCAGTGTATAAAGAATCCAATAATCTTTGTATTTTCCAGTTTTTGGAAGTTAGGTATCTATATATTTTTGCTCAGAATCTGTCAGAATTTTGACATACTTTTTGAACCACACCAATGTCAACAAAAGATTAATTGTTATAGTCCAATTAGATCAAATTATATCAAAGAGATGAACAAAATAATAACATGCAAACAAGGAAATGCACAAAATAAAAAGATAATATTTCCAGGATCTTCTCCATGATAACGTGGTAGGGCTACATAGGGAAGCTTTTGAGAAATTAGTATGCTTAATATGCATACTAATTTATATGCATAATAAATATTTTGGCATCTGTCAACTTTCAAAGGTAAAGTCTTCCCTCCCCAGTTACTTGATGAAATAAATCTGCACAAAAATAGACTAAAATGGATGGCCAGAGCTTGGAAATAAATTAGTCAGTTTTTAACTAACACTGTACTAACCCATTTTCTGCCTCCCCCAATGAGACATACTGAATATATTTGCTGATTAACTGCACTAACTATTTCTTTGGAGCAACATGTGAGAGATTCTGCCTCATTATTCATTGCTCAAGTGGTCTCAGGAGGAATAGAGCTGGAGAGTACTAGGGTTGTGAGAAACTGGAGCTAGCAGAGATGGAGACTGGAAGTTCTTGCTCCTGCATGCAAAAACAGTACAGCACAACCCCTGTATCTGCAGTGGATATGTTTCCAGACTTCATGTGGATACAAGAAACCATAGATAATAGTGAGCCCTGTAAAACTTAATGGAACAAAAAATAGAAGTACTGTACCTAGAAGAGGGTCTAGTTCATACGGGAGCACCCTAATAATCGAATAAGTAAAACTGGGATAAGTAAAACTACATATACCAATTTTATGGATTGTTGTTCATTCGTTCAGTCGTCTCCGACTCTTCGTGACCTCATGGACCTGCCTACGCCAGAGCTCCCTGTCGGCCGTTACCACCCCCAGCTCCCTCAAGGTCAGTCCAGTCACTTCAAGGATGCCATCCATCCATCTTGCCCTTGGTCGGCCCCTCTTCCTTTTGCCTTCCACTTTCCCCAGCATAATTTTATGGATACAGGAATCATATTGTATATGATACTTATCTTTGTAGATCAAGCTTCAAGATATTATTTCCCTGGCAATTAGTTATCACAGGCCATCAATGTGCCTCTAGTTATGAAAGAAAGTTTGATCACACTCAGTATCTAAAAAATGAAAAGCCATTACTGGGTTGAAACGAGCAATTTTTATTAGTTAAACTAGCCATCCCCTGCCACGCGTTGCTGTGGCCCAGTCTGGTGATCTGGAAAATAAAGTAATTAGAAATTGTTGGTGTCTAATATATGTAATTTCTTTATGCTTGTGGGTCCACAGTATTTCTTGTTCTTTCTTTGTCAGTGTTGATGTTGAGAGTGTCTGGTTTGCCTACTCTGGAACATGCAACGTATAATTGTCCTTCTTTAGGGGTCCCTTTCAAATCTATGATACTATAACTCTCTGTGTGTGAATCATATATAACTATCTGTATCTATGGCTGG